GTTGGTCAACTTTGCCAATCAATGTACGCAGTTACGTGGACAGGCCGAAATAATCTCATAATTGAATATTTTTTATTAGAAAAATAAACAAACGATATTTTCTACTTTCTGTCGCCGTACTAATCGACATAAAACTAGACCACTCTTTTACTTTATTGTAAAATTCATCTACACCTTTGTATTTTTTCTTAACAAAAACTAACTTAATATGATGAATTGTGTCATTGAAATCAATGGTAAATATTTGAAAAGAAATAAATTATTATTCACATGAGTTTATATAATTACTCTCACTATAATCTCGTTAGTATATAAAATATTTCTTATATACGTCGAATAAAATACTGTTGATTAGCAGCAATTGGTATAATTTGTGTTGTTGTTTGACAAAAAAATATTTTTAAAATTTTTTGAATTTGTCTATCAAGTAAAATAACAGTTAATTTTTCAACTGTAACAAATAATGGTAAAAAAATAATAACAATTGAGCAAAATATTTCAATTTTAGTTATTATATAGATAATAGTTGGTATTGCTCCACATGCATAAATACTAATAAGTATTAAAATATTTCGAAGAATTTCAAGATTTCGATTTTGTTGAATTTTTCTTATAGTTTTTTTCAAAACTTTTTTCTATTTGTTTAACTCAATAATAAATATTTATATAAATAGTAACAATTAATATTATTGGAATAAGATAATATGCAAAAAGTGTATACGTGACATGAAATAATCTTTCTTTTGGTACCCAACAAAGAAATGTTGGGCGAAAATAAATATCTTTTGTTAATAATGCTGGTAAAGTAATTAATATAACAAATATCCATTGAATGACGATCATTATATATTGAATTTTAAATGAACGTATTCATCGATGATTTATATTAAATATTGAAAAAAATAATCGAGATAAAGCTTGAATAAAATATGAATAAATAATTGATGCAATAGACATATAACTAAAATAAGCTATTATATATATACAGTGGTTTGCAAAAAGACTTGAAACAATTTATTCATATAAATATTCGATGTTTTCTAGATTCTTTCAAAATTTTGTTTTGGTGGTTATTGTATATTTATAATTAACAGGTTATCTACAACAAATACTTATGTATTCGATTGGTTTCTATTCGATCGTTGTATAATGATAATCTGACGGAGATAAGAACGTGACTCGAATATTACATCATACTTTTGTATTACATTATACAAAAATGCGAACTCATCCTCTCAGAAATATTCGCCGATATATAAAGATACCACTTCCTACAACCAGTTATTAATTCAAAAAGTTCAGAATTCAGTGTTTTCTAGGATATTGGTCAGTTAAAGGTTGCAAATGTATGATCAATGGTAAACAAAAGCGAGAAATTAGTAAAATTGATTTGGCGAAATAAAAAGATGGTATTGATAGAGTTTGATGCAAGATGACATGAACAATGTGAACTTATCATTTTCATCAATATAATCGATAATATTTGTATTAATTGAATATAAGCACTGAAAAAGTTATAATTAATTTGATTAACAGCACATAACTCACATCTTCAAGATAATTATTTATCACTTCTATTCTATTATTTTCTCTCTTTAGTATTTTTTCTAAGGTATTTGCTGTGGAAACGTCATCAGTTTTTTAAACTATTTCTACATCTATAGCAGAATAAAACCAATAAATTACGAAGTTTAATTGACTTTAGCTTTTCTTTTCTTTACACGTTTGAAGTAGATATCAATATGCCAGATCTTTTATCAGATATGTCATTTCACAACTAGGTGTAAGAGTGAGATTTTCACATCTTTATCATGCTAAATATATGTGACATAAGACTACAATAAATACAATGCAAATATTTGTCATTTTCTCAGAGTAAAGATTTCATATTTTCTGTTTTTTTCTCTTCTGCTTCTATATATAGCCTTTATTCAACAAAGACACATTATTAAATCATTTCATTTTTCTGTTTCTTTGAGATCGAGAATAGCTCTTGTTGAACGCATAGAATCTGTTATTAAAAAATACAATTTCGAAATGGGTAATTGTTTTCCTGGTGGAACAGCCTCTTTAATACGTTTGGTCGCTTTTGATTACGAAGTTAATGAAAACCAAGTGACTGTTGTATCGCAGATTGGTGATCGTGGTCAAGGAATATATCAAGTAACAATTCGTGGTATCACCACTCCTATCCGGTATGATCGCGTGGGCTCCGTTTATATGCGCCATGCCAGTGCACCTCCACTGCCTCACGAAGTTCCTGGTCAAGCTACGCCAACCGGTAAACCATCAAATCATGGAGTCATTAAATACGCAGCAGCAGACAATCAAGTTCCCACTCAGTCTGTCACAATGATTAAAATGAGTGAAGAAATAGGTTCAGGAACATATCATTTGAATGTTAAAGGTAACCGAATGATTTACAAAAAAATGGGAACTTCTTTCATGAAAGCTGGCTCATTCATACCTGGTACCAATACTGTTGTCTAAAATTTAGATACTTTCAATTATAATTAAGTTGATTTAGCTTTATTTGTTAGTTGTACTTCTTTTTTAAATACTGTATACATTCTGGATGTTAATTTACCTTTATCTTTATTTTATAAATACAAATATTATTTATGATTATGCTTTATTAAAAATGAATTGTTATTAATAGATCAAAGAAATATTTTAAGCCAACGAAACTTTTCTATATTATTTTACGTTCTATAGTCTCGATAATCACAACAAATTTAGTTCTATGCATTTAGAAAAGTTCATAACTAGAAGTGTTATTATCGAACAATGAATTGCTATCCAATGTACACTAATGTGTTTGTCATCAATATCCATAGTCACAAAGTTTTGCCGACATTCATAATATAGAGTGAACATAAATGATAGTCTGTACTGTGTAATGTTTTCTAAGAGTAATCCTCTTATGTAACAGTCCAATCACTTGTATATTCTTATATGTTTGAAAGTGGCTAGTATTTAAATGAGCACTAATAGTGACTGAATGAGCAATAATCTTTGAGCAATAAAAGAATCTTTTTTGAGCAGTTTTAAATTATGATATGGTTAATAATTAATCCAGTAAATAGCAATATTAATTTCATATTTTGGTAATAAGAAAAAGAGACACTCCAGTTTTTATTTCTACAATTGATCATAAAAAAAAGGAAAATGAGCAATAAATGTACTATTATAGCAATAAAGCTTCTTCTGCTTTACATGGTCAGCCTCTTGAAGGTGTGGGTGTTAGTATGGATGATGATGAAGTGAACTTATACACGAACCCACACCCACCCTCGAGAAAAGCTGATTTGTTGATTAACTTGCCATAGACTTCACCTCTTTTGAGCTCGGTTCCGTTAGGTTCGGTTTGGACCTTTTAAAAAACTAAATCGATTCGGTTTGCTTCGGTTTGACAATTTTTCGGCAGAATTCGGTTCGATTCCAAAAAATCACGAACCGATTCCACCGCTGATATATACACATAAACAGGATGGGAAAATTCAAAGACAGTGAGGGAAAAATAAGGAGAAAGCAAAGTACTTGAACGAGTCAACGTTTGGAAAATAATTCAGATAAAAAGGAAAAAACAATATATATGTGAAGATCTTGGATAAGCCATCTATACGATACAATCAAAAGAAGGAAAAGAAAATATCCAACACAGACGAATGGTACTGTAAACTCCAGTCTATAATAAAAGACCGCTGGGTCTTCTATTATATTTCTCAAACTAAGTCTAAATTTACTGAAATCCTCATCAAAATACACATAATTTGTATAGAAAATTTTTCCAGAAGGGTCGTCTATTGTTGGAGGTTCCTTTATTGAGAGGGGGTCTTCTGTTATAGAGGGGATTTAACAGCTAGATTTATATTGCTCCTTATACATACGATTTATTGCTCATTTAAATAAATTACTGCCCATTTAGTATAATTATTGCTCATTCAGTACTATTATCGCTCATTGAATTTTATTATTGCCAAATTTCGTTATTGCTCGTTTCGATTTTATTATTGCTCATTTAAATATAAGTCACTAATTAATTGATATTTGAAAATGTCCAATATTTCCGGTATCCAACTTTCGAATGCACGAAGAGCAACGTTTAAGATAGAGAGTGATCTCAGACATATTCCATTGATCGAGCTGAACAAAGTATTCAATAATTCAGCATGTTCATAGAACACAACAACCGAAACAATGTTTTGTTTAGAAAATATTTGACGAAAATTACCACAGAATTTTGTTTTCTTCCGAGACAAATTTAGATGAACATTCGGTGTATTATAAACAAGTTTCTTGAACCGATGATTGAGACCAAAGAAAGATTTATAAATTTCATTACCTGTTAGATAATCAAAAATATCGAAGAAAATCTCCGTTAAGAATTGTTCAAACGTTGTATTTGTAGAGATTCGATTATGGTGATGTTGAGACTTCCTTTTTAACTTAATCATTTCGTTTTATGATTAAAATACAGATATTCTATTATAATTTTTTGTCAACAGAGAAGAGACTTTTATATGTCAACAATGACTCAATATGACTGTATAAACATGTATGAATTCACCATCAGGTATTGATGATTCAACATTTAAACAAACGTTGTGCAATTAATTCTTACCATGCTGAATTTCGCAATGTTTACGTAAGACAAAAACAAATATTGCTTTGTCTTGATCATACTTTTAAAGTTAAACAGTTTGAGAGTATAAGAGCGTCTGTTTTTCATTCACATTCATCCTTATGCTCAAGTTTTAAAGTTAGTACTAGAAGTTTTGGAGTAGAAAGCAAAAGAGTAAGATATAATATGGAATGCAATTGGACTGATTCAAACAAGCATAGAAAAGTAAGTATATCATTACATGAAGTAAATATGTATATTACACAATTTATTACAAGCTAAACGTATTACATATTACCTTTCTTTGTCAAATAATTTACTCTTCAGTTTGCAGATTTATGAGCCTCTTCGATATTTTTTTCCTTTAGATTCAAATGTGAACCATGCTGAATTGAATGTTATTATGAGAAGAAAGGAAGAGATTTTTCTAAGTTACCAGTAATAAGTAATACACATATAAGATTGTAAAAATACTTTTAATCATCAACTAGATTTGTGCTATCGTATAAAGGCATCATGACAACGTTATATCTACTTATACCAACGTATATCGTTCTGAGTATTGGTACATTACTGAGAACTCAACAATATTTTTAATTTTGACGTATTGAAAACATTTTTTTACAAAAACAACAAATCAATAGCAAGGAGATTATGCTCTGATTTACTCACTTCGGGGTGTATAAAATAGCTTTATTGGTAAGTGAGGTGGCTGGGTGTGAGTACGTATAAACACAAAACATTCAAGCTCTCACTCACGTTCACACCCTTCGAAAATTTCAGGTAGTATATTTCTTTCGGTAATTCACGCTTTATCGTGCAATACAATTATTAATCTCAGAAATAGATAAAGTAATACGAATCACCAAAGACTATTTTAAGTCACTGTAAGCACTTCAAGTTTAAAAGTGTATTATTTTTTCTTGTAGCGGATGCGCTTCAAAGGGATACGCTCATTCGTACTGACATCCTTCTCATTTGTTTAACTGAGCATACCTCATTTAAGAGCATTAGCATCATAGTTTCTGTTTGATGTCTTCTTCTATTTTTCAAGCATTTTCTACCGACATAAAACTTCATTGATAGATAAAAAAAGGAAAAAGAAAAAAAACAACTTCATTATATACTGCATTTCAAAAGAAAATTCTCGTTTTATTTCATTTTTTCTACATTCTCACCATCACTCCTTCTTTCTTATATATCATTATATATATATATATATATTGCGTATTTTAACAATATTATCAGCGAATATTAACATGGATTTTCCTTCAATTATTAATCGAATATACATCTTTATTAGCTGTTTAGATTTTACCACTGCATTTGCAATTCTGATACTAGTCTCTTTCTATCGACGTCGATGTTTTAATTTTCCAACACTTTTGGCTTGTAATACTGCATTAGCTGTCTTATTATCCTCTGCTAATCATATAGCAATAGCTACCTATATGTTTATATGGGATCAGTATGTAGAACCTAAAATTGATTCATTGTGTGCATTCCGTGCATATTTTCATCATTGTACTATTGCTTGGGTTCATCATTCATTTATTTTATTAGCTATTGAGAGATTTTGTAAAATTCGACAATTTACATTTCTCAAAAATCAACAGCGGAGGATTTGCGTTGTACTTTTTCAGTGGATATTTGATTTTTCTTTTCCTTTACCTGTTTTCATTACAGGTAATATGATAAAACTTGCATCAGATAATGCGTGTTTCGTATCATTGACAAGACTTGACTTGATTTTTTATATGGCTGCAGTGTCTTTTTTACTAACCGATATTATTTTAGGTATAATCTATCGATTATTAGTTCGTCATGTACGTCAAGCTTCGGCAAGACTCAATAACAATCAGCAAGTGCGAATGCAACGAGATTTGACTGTCGTTCGTCGTATTGTTATACTAAATTCTCAATTAGTTGTAATAGCAATACCAGTCGTTGTTGTTATCATTCTTGCCTCAATTCGTGCTGATCTTTTACCTAACAAAATAATGCGTGTCTTGTTTTTGCTATCGAATCTACCTTATACACCTATGCTTATCATCCTTTTATTTCTGACACCAGATCTACGACAAAGTTTTATCGACTGTCGTAATAAATTAAAATGGTGTCGCCCAAGAAACATCGCCCCTTTGCAAATGATAACGATTGCTGGTCGTATTTGATAGAAATATCATTGGAAACTGCTTTCTAGTCAACAATACGTTAAAAGACATTTTACTATCATTTTTTGAAGATTTTATGTGTAATAAATAGTTTCAAAAACAAGAAAATATCAATTTCTTCATGCTAAAAAGATGTAAACTGTTCTAAGTCTAGAATGTACATAAAAGGTGTTTCATACGGGTGTGGGTAAAGATGAGGGTGAAGGTGTGCGTGTAGGTGCGGACCTCAGTTGAATATATGATTTCGACCACATTCACATCGACACCTTCTCACCCACACTCAGACTCTCAATCTTATTTTATTTTATTTGTGCATAAATTTCCTGTGCTCATCGTTCACCAATCCATTTAGCTGATTATTTTCTTTCATTTATTCCACTATTATTACATTTCTTTATCATTGTGATAACATCTGAAATATAAAAATCAACATATTCTCGAAAATACGCATTAAATCTATATATTTTCTGCTCAAGAAAAATACAGTATGGTTTGTTAGATGGCGACATCTTAGTTTGTAGAGAAATCATAAATATGATGAAGAGACATAATTTGTTGATAATATTGCCTATAGAGAACAAAGTGATTCATGATATATTTTCATTTATATCTAAATTTCGTATAATGATATCCTTATTCTCAAAAAATCAGTTCAAATGTCCTTTCTTTCTGATATACAAGCCGGTTCTCAATTAAAACTTCGACCAACAACCACACATGTGACAAACTCATTAGGTCAAATCTATCACGAATCCAAATCTGATGATGGAATATTTGAAATCCGTGACAGATCAAACGATTCAAACGGTACATTTATGGTAATAGATAATTCACCCGATGAAAAACTCCATCATGTCATTGATGGTCTTTATATTGGATCGCAAGATGCAGCATCTAATCTACCATGTCTTAATGAATGTAAAATTACACATATACTTAATGTAGCAACTGGCATTCAAAATGCATTTCCTCAACAATACAATTATTTAAATATTGAATTGTTAGATGTACCTGAAACAAATATTTCGAAAGTATTTACACAAACCAATCAGTTTATCGAGCAAGCACTGGCCGATAATGGCTGTGTATTAGTTCATTGTAATGCTGGTATTTCACGTAGTTCTAGTATTGTCTTAGCCTATTTAATAGGAATACATCGAATGCAATATGAAGAGGCATATCAATTATTGAAAAAAGCACGTGTAAATATCAGACCAAACGATGGATTTGTACGACAACTGAATGAATATGCAGCTGAAATCGAACAGAGATATCATTCATAATATAGATAGTGTATATTTGTTGTACAGCCTTTTCTTAGCTTTTAATAAAACAAAATCTATATATTTCTTTTGGTTTACGTGATAAGCGGAGTAGGAAAAAAAGGATTTAAGACTATTGAGGAACTTTTGGGACGGAATAAACGAGTTTCAAAGCATAAAAAGTTGTCATGTCAGTCTCTAGTAGAAGATTTGTTGTTGCAGATTATTTATCAATTCCTATAGTAGGATCATTGGACACTAATGATGATAATTTCAAATTCTTGATTTTGACGATGCGAACTGCCGAAGTGTTGTTGACTTTTGCCGACGAGAAAAACTCGTGCGATATACGTAATGTATCTTTATAATTCAGCGGCATTGATTTACGTTGGTTTATAGTAGTTGAATTATTTTGTTTGAATTTTAACAGTGCTTTATCGTTTGTGAGCAAGGTTTGAGAAGTTGAGCAGTGCGATTTTGATGTCTGTATTCCTTGATCAATCGGTGCTGATGCTGTTACTCTCGGCAGTTTTATAATGCTAACGTTCATTGTTTCAGTACTCGGTAATTTGAAACAATCGGTCTTGCCAATGTTATCAGCATCTGAGAATGGCTCTTCAACGTCGGAATTTGTTTCGGTTGATAATGATTCATTAAAACTACTTTGATGAATTAAGCTCGCATTACTGGGATGATTCCGTTGATATTTTTGTACATTATTTTCGTTTTTGTACTCATTACTAGTATTTAATGGATAAATCATAGCACTTTTATGTGTTTTGTGATGTTTGTCATAATGACGTCCTCGTATTGACACCAACTTCTGTTTGCTGGGTAAAGTTGACGTAAGTAAACTTAATCTAGGTGATGACTGTTCACTACGAAATATAGATTTCGTTTGGTCCCTCTTTGGTTTTTGTCTGTTACGTCGACGATCGGATCCATAGCAGCTAAAGGATAAGAAGTCATTAGTGCTATTGAATTTGCAAGCTGAGGAGAAATAACTTACAACAACCACCACCAACAGCAACAACATAAAGTTAACAGAATTCCCAAGCCTAATAGTGATAAGCCGATGATCATTGGTTCATTTATATTATTAGATATATTCGCTTCAAAATCAAAGGTACATAGTTTGACTTTATTGAGAGACATTCTTCAAACTTACGTGCATTCGCCAAAGTATTAACAGCCGTTGTTGTTGTTATTGTTGTTGTTGTTGCAGTTGTTGTTGTTGTACTGATAGCAGTACTGCTTGTGCTCGATCTGAAAATATACAATTTTGATTCACTCTTTAATAAAGAATGAACTACTTAAAGTAATTCTCAAACAGGATTAATGTGGATATAGACGCAGTAGTACATGAGGGCGTGGGTGTGGATATAGGTATTCAATTTACCTCTTCCACTTACTCATACCGTCACCCACCCACATCCACACTCTTTTACAAAATGTTTTGTTTCTATAAGTTCGAATCGCAAAGTCTAGAAGAGAATGCATCCTATTCCGCGATGTTGAACATTGTAGGAATCAGTTCCGCACCGGAATCGATTCCGTCCAATTCCGGGAACTCGATCGACACACAACATAAGACACCCAGTCGAGATTGATCGAGTTCGACCGATTCCGGAATTGCACGGAATTCCCACCGATTCCGGAATTGCACGGAATTCCTACCGATTCCGGAATTGCGGGAATTGGTTCCGATTCCGGAATTCCGTACCGGAATCACACCATCCACCTCACCCACATTTGTTGTGTTGTGTTGATAAGTTATCCCGTTTGGATACGATCTAATTCCGTTACGGAATTCCGGGAATTGCATCAAGACGGAATTCAGTGGAATTGGACGGAATTCCTGGGAATTCTTACCGATTCCCACCAATTCCGGAATTGCGTTAACTACTTCTAATTACGGAATTACACGAAATTCCTACCGATTCCGGAATTCCTACCGATTCCGGAATTATACGGAATTCCTACCAATTCCGGAATTGGACGGAACTCGATCAATTTTCGAGTGGGTATCGGATATTATGTGTCGATCGAGTTCCCGGAATTGAACGGAATCGATTTCGGAGCGGAACTGGTTCCTGAAATGTTCAACATTGCGGAATAGGATGACTGCTCGTCTAGAATAGGTAGTTGGTGAGTAATTTTCTATCTAGTTATTCTGATATATATATATAACGGCCTGTCCACGTAACTGCGTACATTGATTGGCAAAGTTGACCAAC